CCAGCCCTAATTTGTATTTTATTTAGAGATAAGCCTTCACTGAGTTGCTTAGTGCCTCACTTTTGCTGAAGCTGGCTCTGAACCCTGATTCTCCTGTCTCAGCCTCCCAAGCCTCTAGGATTACAGGTGTGTGCCACCGTGTCTGGCTGGACATGTGTTTTTATTTCTCTTAAATGGTACCTATAGGGTAACTGTTTGACCTCTTGAGAAACTGCCAGACTTTTCCAAAGTGGCTGTATCATTTAACATATTTAATATATCCACCAACAAGGAATGCTGATTACAAGTTTCTCTATATTATTAACAATACTTGTTGCTTTTTTTTTTTTTTAATAGAACCACCTTTGTGGATGTGAAGTGGTATCCCATTGTTTTTCTTTGGGGGGGGGTGTACTGGGAATTGAACTAACTCAGGGGTACTCAACCACTGAGCCACTTCCCCAGCCCCCCCCCTTTTTATTTTATTTATTTAGAGACAGGGTCTCTCAGAGTTGCTTAGGGCCTTACTAAGTTGCTGAGGCTGCCTCTTGTCTCAGCCTCCCTAGCTGCATTACATGCATTTCAGGCGTGCACCACCACACCTGGCTGTACATTGTGGTTTTGATTTGTGTTTTCCTGGTAGCTAATAATGTCAAGCATCTTATCACATGCTCATCAGCCATTTGTATATTTTCTTTGGCATTCTTTTTGTTTTCCTGTCCCCAAGGCAATAGGCCTTTGCCCATCTGAGCTTTTGCTTAGAATGACATAGTTGACCTAACTTAGACTTGGATTGCCTTTTCTCCACTTTCTATGATCCCTCCCTTCACACATCCCCCAGGGAAAGTTAATCTCCACTGCTCCCAGAGTTTCCAGTAGTTTTTAACAAAACTCTTATAGTATCCAACATATTGCCCTATAGTTTACCTTTCTGTCTTTTATCTCCAGTAACAACTTTTCAAGGACCGGGACCTTGTATCCTGCCTTTGACACTTAAGTTGATATTGAGGAAGCCACTTAATTCTAAAAAGAACATGCTAATGGTGCTTACCTCTGGGGGAAGGGTTGAGAAATAAATGAGCTAGTCACTAAAGTTTTTAGCAGTATGCTTGGCACAAAGCAATCTCTGGAGCTGGTGTGTTTTACTGAGCATTTATTGAGTGCCCACAGTGGGAACATCAGACAAAAAATAAACAAGATCCAAAAAGTAAGGATGTGTTTCATGTGACCCCTGAGTCCTAAGGATAAACAAGGATAGGTATTCAGGAGTGTTGGGGGATGAGGGGATATTAGTTTTGCATAGGTTTAAATTGAGTCAGGGAAAGACCTCACAGTAAGTGACATTTTAGCCATGGCCTAAGGAAGTAAGGGAGGTCCTCTTCAGGGAAAGCAGCATTCCAGAGATAAGGAACCACAGATGCAAACCTTCTGGGGCAGGAGTGTTTGAGCAAGTCCGAAGTATAAGCAGGAAACCTCAAGCTAGACTAGAATGAAGGAGTTAAAGGCAGCATAGTGGACGAAGGCACCTTACATTTATGTGCAAGTTCTTGTTTGAAGACCTGTTTTCAGTCCTGATATGTTTTTCTTTAATCACATTTGAATAACACTGTTTCTTGAGGGCAGTAGCCATGCCATATTGGTTTTGGTACAGAGGGATTAAACCCAGGGGTATTTAACCACTGAGCCACACCCCAGCCCTTTTTATATTTGAGACAGGGCCTCACTGAGTTGCTTAGTTCCTTGGTGACTCTCCTATCTCAGCCCCCAAGCCGCCGAGGTTACAGGTGTGCACCATCACGCCTAGCTGACATATTGTTTTTATTGACTCAGCACAGAGCTGAACCTGTCCTAAGTTTCAGTGGATGTTTGTTGAATGAATGAGGTATATTTGTGAATTATTCAACATATGCCAGCACATGGTGGGTGCCAAGTGGCTGATGCCTTTTATCATTATTTTTAGTAAATACAACTGATACTTTAGATTGGAAATTTTGTAATTTCAGGTGCTTAACTGGTTGGAAGGAAGTGTATCTCTCCAGTACTGCTCATTATTAGAATGAACAGATACAGGAAGGGTGGAGGGCAGTTTGATAGTCTCTGGGAAACTCAGAATGTAGGTAGCCTGCTAGCAATTCTGCTTCTCAGGATCTGTCCTGGGAAAACATCTATAGCTTGTGTCAAAAATGTGAACAGGATACTTAGAAGTTCTAAGTTTCCATCGTAAAGGAATAGATAAAATGTGATAAGTCTCTACAGTGCTCTGATTGACAGCATTAGAAGGAATTAAAATCAAACTGTAGAATGATGCTTTACAGTATGACGATCTATGTATTAGCAAAGACACATAAAAATGTTCTGGCTATGACTGCATACAGATAAACAGAGGAAAGATACACAGCAGGTTTTTGTTTGTTACCAGAGATTGAACCCAGCAGTGCTTAACCACTGAGCCACATCCCCAGCCTGTTTTTATTTTTAAAGAGGGTCTTGCTTTAAACTTGTGATTCTCCTGCCTCAGCCTTCCAAGCTGCTTAGATTATATGCATGTGCCACTGTGCCCTGCTACACAGTAGCTTTTTAACAGAGGTTACCTCACAGGTGTTGTGGCCCAGAGTGTAAGGTAGTGGGTAGTGTTCAAGGGAGGATTAGTTTTATCAGTAATGGCTCTGAAAAATATGCCTAAAGAAATGACTTATCAATTATATAGTTAAATTTTAAATGTTAAAAATGTCGTTGGGTGAAATTTTTTCAGTACAATAAAGAAAACAATCTTAGCAAAGAGGTAGGGTCCCAGCACTAGAGCATTCCTCAGATATCTTCCAGTTCTATTATTTTTACATTAAGAGTGGTGGTTCTAGACTCCTTAGGAACAAGGCATATTGGCATGGACCTGTACTTGGGAGGTTGAAACAGGAGGATCATTTGAGCCCAGAAATTCAAGACCAGCTTTTGCAACATAGTGAGACCCTCTGTTTAAAAAAACAAAAACAAAAAACAGACCAGCACAGTGGCACATGCCTATAATCCCAGCGGCTTGGGAGGCTAAGACAGGAAGATCCCGAGTTCAAAGCCATCCTCAGCAAAAGTGAGGCACAAAGCAACTCAGACCCTGTCTCTAAATAAAATACAAAATAGGCTGGGGTTGTGGCTCAGTGATCGAGTGACCCTGAGTTCAATCCCAGGCACCATCACCTCCCACTCCCCACCAAAAAAAAAAAAAATTCTTAAGATCTATTCCTGTGATTGTTTCCTGGCTTCTTTACCATGTATGTCTAAGCTGATTGGCGTTCCCATGGGGAAAATTGCTATTTGTCCCACCACCTGAGCTCCTTAGGTGCAGCTGGGCCTCAGGAGTAGGAAAGAAGATATAATTGCTAATTAGTTGTGACTTCTTGGGAAAGAGTATTTTTCAAGGGAAAGAGGGAAGAACAGAAGGTTGAGGACCTCGAAGAATCCAAGAGTCATTTAGGTACCACTCTATGCAGCAGGTAACAGACATAGTTTGGGAGCCTCAGACAGGTCAGTGCTTCTCTGATAAACTCAATTTCCTTTTCTACCCAATGGGGAGAACAGGCCTGCTAAGATAAATTAAATGAAAAAGTAACAGTGCATCTAGTTTCTTAGATACAAACAGACTACAAATTGTGAATTTGCTTGAGTGTACAGAAAACCTCTAGAAAGAAGCACAGAAAACAACTTGTCTCCAGGAGCGAAAGCTAAGTGGCTTGGGACAGAGAACCAAGAGTATTCCTTTTTGTACCTTTTCTTCATGAGGACCTGCTCATAGAATTAACAGAGTAGTTTTTGTTTGTTTGTTTTAATTTTATATGTTAGGTAATGTGTGCATGTTATGCAAGGTTTAGTGGAAGATACATCTCACAGAACGTGTGAACACTCAATCATCATACTTAGGAACAGAAAAGATCAAGTTTGTCATTTTTAAAGCCCATCAGTGTGTCATTGAGGTGGTTGAGAAATGGGGCAGGTATGGTAAGGCCTCTATGGTAGGTAGCATGCAGGAACACATGAATGTTTCAATGGTAAGTGTCTGAACATGCTCTAAAGATTTTTGTGATTCATTCTGGAGAAAAAAAGATGAAACACAGCCTAAGCCACTAGGATCTCCTGTCAGGAACCAGGATGAGTCTGCCTGGTGGAACCCTCTTGTGGCCTACTACCACCCACACTCATGCTTTGGTCTAGCCCCACAGGCCTTTCTACTGCAGAACCTGCCTGGCAATCCCTGCCTTTCCTCTGAATTGCTTTCTCTTCCAAGAGCATTGGCACCTCTGCTTTGGCTGAGGTCTTAATAAGGTGCTTCTTGTTCATCAGTTGGTTTCCATTCTTGAAATCAGGCTCTGAGCTAATCTGACCCTTGAGGCTTCTAGGGTTTTCTTTGACAGGAGAGAGAGGGAGAAGCTCATTCAAAGGATATTTATGATAAATGGATAGCAAGTCCTATTTGACATGCTGGGTTTGCTGGCTGGTGATATGCTGCCCAGTGAATATGCCCAAATGGACAAAAGATGGAATTTTGGACAGGTAATCCCTCCAGAAACACAGGTAGCAAAGGTGCAGGCCCATCACCAATGTGGTAGGGCAAGTGAGGGAAGGTGATGCCCAAGAGTGAGTGTGTGTTTATTTTTCATTTTGAGACAGGGTCTCACTAAGTTGTCCAGGCTGGCCTCAAACTTGTCATCCTTCTGTCTCAGCCTTCTCAGTAGTTAGGATTACTCTTCCACAATTTTTATTATTTTTTTGATAGTGGGGATTGAACCCAGCAGCTGGGCTTAACCACTGAGCAACATACTCAGCCCTTTTTAGAGATAAGGCCTTGCTAAGTTGCTGAGGCTTGGCCTTGAACTTAGGCACCTCCTGCTTCAGCCTCCCAAGTTGTTGGAATTATGGTTGTGCGCCACTGTGCCTTGCAGGAACAAGCCTTTATTCCCCTCTGTGTTGTCATCACCTTACTCAGGGTAGTACTGAGTGAATTATTAAAGTAAACAATTCAGGTAAAGTTAAGTTGGAGTGGCAAAACAACTTAAGATGGAGGTGAGTTTGTAGAACTGAGTGATGGTTGGCAATGACAGAAGAGAACCATGGTTCCCAAGCTGGGGGGTGGGATGAATCTGTGGGTCACAATCCCAGGTGGGTCTTTCCTCAGCTCTCAGATGGTAGGAATGTTCTGAAACACAAGAACAGATATATGAGGAGTGGTAAGAGGACCAGTAATCCAGGTGAGCCACAGGTTGCTTCAGCTGTGCCATCCAGCCCTGAGCACCTGGTGCAAGCATTTTCTTCCGCTTTCCCAGGCGATGCACCACTTCCTTAGTTTGAGTTCCTCTTTGCTTCCTCTGGCGCCCTTGGCTTCTCTTAGGAAAATTCTCCCTGATGGTAAAAATGGAAATGCCTGTGTCAGAGTTCAAGCTAACTTGCATTTGTGAGAAACTTTCCAAGTCTTGGCTGTCAGTGACTTTGTTTATCAAAGTCACATTGTGCACATTTTTCAAATTGTGATTCTCTCACCTCTGTTCTTAAAGAGTCCCAGGTCAGACTTTGAGCTCTCAGCCAGACCATTGCCCTTGCCTTAATCTAGTGCTCCCTAATTTCTGGCCATAATAACCCCTACCCCTTACAGTCCCTGTGGCTCCCTCAACAAAAAGTTTAAGTTACCAGACTAATATTTATGACTCTGCTGATTTCTCCTACCACATCTTGTGTAACTGTATGTCCTCAAGACCACCCTCAGGCTCAGTGATTCACTACAATTCACCAAGCTCAGCAAAGCTGTTATACTTGTGGCCAGTTTTTTACAGCAAGAGGCCACAAACTAAAATCAGCCAAGGGGGGAGGTGCATAGGTGTGAAGCACAAGCTTCCAGGTGTTGCTCCTTTTGTAGTTCATAGACAGCATTTAGTGCTCCCGGCAACAACATGTGGCAGCACATGTGGAGTACAGGTGCTGTTTGACTTAACATGATGCTGTGTCCTGAGAAAATCCATCATAAGTTGAAAATGGATGAAGTATGCCTAACCTGAACAAGCTGGTTTAGCTGCACTGCACACTTCAGATTACTGTCATGATTGAAGGGTTGACTGCAAGCAACCCCTGGTTGGCTGCTGTCCAGCATCTCAAGAGAGGATCATTCCATGTGTCACCAGCCTGGGAAAAGAGCAAAAGTTTAAGTACAGTTTATGTTGAATTCATATCACTTTTACACCATTGCAAAGTCAAAAGAAGTTGTAAGTTGAACCAGGCATGGTGGTGCAGGCCTGTAATCCTAGCAACTGAGGAGGTTGAGGCCAGAGGATCACAAGTTCAAGGCCATGCTCAGCAACTCAGCTAAGCCCTCAATAACTTAGTGAGACCCTGTCTCAAAATAAAAAATAAAAAGGGCAAGTTTTAAGTAGAACCATTGTAAATAAGGAACTGTTTGTAGTGTTAACCAGGGAAGCTCACCTGAACCTTGGTATCTAAAGTTCTGTGGGGGATCAGTTCCACTGGCAAGGAATATCTTGCACGGGTGCTCTCACGTCCAATGAGGAGGCCCACAGAACAGGGTAGATGAGAGTGTGGCTGTGGAGTCAATATTCAAGACCTTCGGAGACCAAGCAGGAAGCAGGTCTGATTTTATTGCACAGTTTCCATATATACTCAGGCAGTAGCTAAGCAGATTACAGGCAGCCACCAATACAATTTCTGCTAACTGTCCTTGCAGCGACCATTCAAGGAGTGGGCCATGGAGCAAGCACAGGGATTACAACACATGGCCTCACACCCAGGGCTGTGCCTGCCGCTCACATGCCTAGCACAAGGGGAATGGCCTGCCACTCAGACGCCCTTAACATATACCATCTATGTAGTACTCCATGCATTTGTCCCTACAATATCTTTATGGATAAATTTAGATATTCAGTGCTCAATGTCCACTATAAATCATTGTTGGTGTGGACTACCTGGAATGGCCTAAGGCCACAGGGGAATCAAGACACTTTCTTTTTTTCTAGGGTCTTAGAGGTTCTCTCCTAGGAGCTGGGCAAGAGCAAGTCTACTTAGAATGTTTACGGTCTACACAGCTCACACCTGCCAAGTCAACCCTTCACTGCACATCCACTGCCCCTCTTGCCACCCCAGATCCCTTCACACCCCAGATCCACCTGCTGTTTCAGGCTCTGTTGTGTTTACACAGGATCTTCCCTGACCTGGATGACCTCCCTTCCCTACCCAGCTCCTGGTTGGCCCTGACAACCCTGATTCTTTCAACACTCCCTGGAACCCAGGCCAGGGTAAGAGCCTCTTCCTTGTTCCTATGACATGTGCCCCAGCCCTGTCCCCACCTGGAACCTGGTCCTGAAGCTCACATTTGACATATCTCTTGACCACCTTGATCGCAGGAGCCATGGCTTAGCTCACAACTCTGGCCCTCATAGTCCTTATTGACAAGATGGACCTACCCTGAAGTTTGCTTTCAGGAGTGAATAATAATCTGTCAGAAGCATGTAGAATAGGGTTGGATCAGCATGTGTGCACCACAGGAATAGATCCTGGCTCCTATAGTGTTGGAAAACTGATGGAGCACTTAATTAGTGGTGAGCCATTACACCAGTCAAGCCCACAAGTTTTTTTCTCTTGTAGTCTACTAAGATTGTTTTTTGTTGTTTTCCTCTCCATAGTACTGGGTGTTTTAACTCTGAACTACATCCTAGCCGCCTTTTTTTGTTTTGTTCGAGACGGTTGTATTAAGTTGCCTAGGCTGCCTCAAACTCTTATGATCCTTCTGCCTCAGTCTCCTGCTTCATTGGGATTATAGTCTTTTTTTGTTTTGTTTTGTTGGTACCAGGCATTGAACCCAGGGGCACTCAACCACTGAGCCACATCCCCAGCCCTTTTTTATATTTTATTTAGAGACAAGGTCTCACTAAGTTGCTGAGACTGGCCTTGAACTCAATGATCCTTCTGCCTCAGCCTCCCCGGCTGCTGGGATTACAGACGTGCACGACCGCACCTGGCTCTTGCAGTCTTTTAATAGTAGTTAAGAACTTTTTATAAATATTCTTTTGAAAAACTTAGCTTCAACTTATTAATAGCAAAAGCTCTCTCAAACTGAGTTCTTGAGAACTGAGACATAAGTTAGCCAGTCAGCTATTTTTGGCTTCTAATAACAAACCCAACTCAAGGTGGCTCAGTGTGGTCTTACACAAGAAGGTCTGGGAGCTGAGACATCTGCCATGGCCTCTGGAGAATGAAGGGACTTTTTATGGGGAGGGCAGGGGAATACCAGATAAAGAACCCAGGGGCACTTAACCATGGAGCCACATCCCAGCCTTTTTTTTTTTTTCCCCCCATTTTTATTTAATTAAACTTATTTATTTTGTGGTTCTGGAGATTGAACCCATGGCCTGCCTTGTGCATGCAAGGCAAGCACTCTATCACCTGAGCTATATCTCCAGCCCTGCCTTTTTTTATTTTTTGAGATGGTCTTGTTAAGTTGCTGAGGCTGGCCCTGAACTTTGTATCCTTTTGCCTTCTCTTGAGTCGCTAGGATTACAGGCATGTATCATCGTGCCCAGCATGAAGGAATCTTTTAGAGAATTTCCTTAGGATAGCTTTGTAAAAATTCCACCTCCAGAGAGTTGACCTTTGACCTGGCAGTTTTGCATGTTTTGAGTGCTCCCAGGTAGTGCCCCTGGGCAGCCAGTTGAGATCTACTGGCTTAGACTAGGCCAATCCAGCATGGTGACCGTGGGGACATCTCCCACATGGCTATATGGAAAAAATAGGGGATTATGAGGAAAGCAAAGGATACAGTAACAGGGATGAGGACAGCTGTAGGAGGTTTCTTGTGACTTAAGGTAGGAAGAGATTCCCAGTTAACACATCCAGAAATGAGAACTGTCTTGGAGAGAAAAGAAGAAATAGACCCTTCTCAGTTGTGACCTTGTTTGTTCTTTACGGAGTGTGGAGATTGCTTTTGTTACCTATAGGGGAAACTAAGGCATAGAAAGCTTTGGAAGAACTAGTAAGTAGCATACACAGAATCCAAGCCTTGGTCTTTTCTTTGCATCTGAAGACTGACTTTGTGCCTGAAAGCAGAAAGTATCCTGGAGCTGCACTACCTCAGCTGTTTTCGCTGAAGGGAAAACAAGAATATGAGGGTGAGATGGAAGCAGGGGTGTTTGCCTATGGAGCCATATGATGGAGTAGGAATAGAGGAGTGTGAGGTATGTGGCCTACTGTAGCATAAGAATTGTTAGCCCTGGGGCTGAAGATGTAGCTCAGTGTTAAGTGCTTTCCTTGCATGTGTGAGGCACTGGGTTCCCCAGCACCACATAAAAATAAAGAGGTACTTTGTGTTTATCTACAACTAAATAAATATTTTTTAAAAGAATAGGGAAAAAAAAAAAAAGAATTGACAACCCATTTCCACCTCGGCCTTTTCCCCTAACTGTGCACAAGGGCCAAAATCCTGACCTCCCTCCCATGACAGTTATAAAGTTAGCTGAGGGTCTTGGTGAGGAAAGTATAGCATAGTGCTAACTACACAAAGTTGTTAGAGTTGGAGTCAGCTGCCCCCAGAAAGCTCTAAGAATTGACATTTGTTGCCCAAGGATGCACTGAATGGTGTTAACAAACTGAATTCATACTAAACTTGAGGTCAGCCACACCCAGGGTCTTTTACGGAAGAACTTACACAGCTGGTGTTTACGGTACCTCCCAGTCCCTTTTCTCACCATCTTCCAGAGGTATCCACAATGTGAAAATGCAGTTTTGTTTTTGCCTTCTGGCCACAGTGATAGTGAGCACCCTGGCTTGTACCCTTCCTATGTTGGCTGTACCCCAGATAGTACCTTACTTTTCCTGAGGAGAGAACTGAGCTCAGAGTTTTGCTGAACCTTGTTATCCAAGGACAGGAGAGTGACTTGAGTCCCACCTTGGATCTACCAGGCATCTTCTACTTCAGAACCATATTCGTTTCCTTTGACTGCTCTCACAAATTACCATAAACTTAGTGGCTTGAACACACATTAGTTCTTGTATAGTTCTGCAGGTCAGAAGTCCGAAGTTAAGTTTATAGGGCCAAATCACAATATGGGCAGGCCTGGTTCTTCTAGAGACTGCAGAGGAGAAACTGTTTCTCTGCTTCCATCATCACATGGCCTTCTCTTTTCCCATCAAATTTCCCTCTGCATCCATCTTATAGTATCACATGTGGTTACGTTCGGGGCCATCTGGATATCCAGGATAATTTCCCCATTACAAGATTTATTTGTTTTTTGGTTTCTCTTTTTTTTTTTTTTTTTTTTTTTTTTTGGTGTGTGTGTGTGTGTGTATGTTTGTTTGTTTTTTTAGTCTTTTTTGTTGTTGTTGTACTGGGGATTGATTGAAACCAATTTTGAGATAAGATCTCACTAAGTTGCTTAAGGTCTTGCTAGCCTCAAACTTGACTTCTGCCTCATGTATTGCCATGCCAGGCCCCATTACAAGATTCTAAATCATATCTACGTAGTCCCTTTTACTGTGTATGGTGATGTACTCCCAGTGGACACATTGGAGGGTCATTATACTGTCTCCCACACCAAACTGTATTGGAAACCAATTAGGGGTCCTTACTTACTGCCTACCTAGAAAGATTATACTCTTATGCCTTGACCAGGCCTGTGTGGTTTACACATGCCGCCTTTAACTAGGCTGTGGTCCCCTCCTATCTGGTCTAGGGTCCCCTTCCGCATCATCTTTGAGGCACAATATGACAGAAAGCCAGCCTAGGATGGCTTGTTTAATTCATTAACTCAGTGTATCCCATTCAGATTGTGATTATAAAAATTGGCTGTGTGAGTCCACTAGTTCCTTATAATGAATTCATACTCTGTAATTTGGTTCTTTCAAAAACCAAGGCCTGAAGGTCATGTGGCACATATCTGTGATCCCAGCTACTTAGGAGGTTGAGGCAGAAGGATCACAAGTTGGAGGCCATTAATACCTTAGTGAGATCCTCAGTAACTTATTAAGATTCTGTCTCAAAATAAAAAGGGCTGGGTGTGTAGCTCAGTGGTAAACAATCCTGGGTTCAGTCCCCAGTACCAAAATAAAATGAATGGAGATGTTCTGGCCCTGGGAGCTTCTGGGTTGTTCTTTATCCTTCTCCCTTCTCTCTCCCCAAACCCATCACTCTGTTGGCAACTCATTGTTTCCCACTGCAGATGGCTAAGATGCCCAGGGGAAAGCCTGGATACATACCCACTGTGGCTACATCTGCAAATAAAAGAAGTTATTGCCTTTTAGCCTGGTGGAAAATCCTAGATTGGCTG